AGGTGGACCTTTCTTCTTCAGGGACAAACTATAACCGCTCGGGTTATAGGGGTTTTATTCATTTCTATCAAGACTTCTTGAACCTACATGTTTTTCTAACATCATGAATTCTATTATGAATATTCATCATAGTTAGTTAAGTTTCAACTAAGCACATTAAATCATTATTTAGTTTCAACTTGAGCAAATTCATTTTATTCCTTATAATTCTAACATTGGAATATTAGTAACTACGCTTACCTTTGGATATAGCGGACCTATCTTTAAACTTGTTATAAAAGTAACATATATATATATGACTTTAATATTTTATGAATAAAACATTTTAAACCCGAACCCATTTTTGGTCCGATTAGTAAAATACTTGATGCTCAGCTCGAAAAACAAAAACCAAAAATAAAGGAGGAAAATCTTCCTATTAATTTATTTATTCCCAGTTTTCCAAGCTCCCTTACAACTTAGCAAATTTAGTTTAAAACCGTCTTTGATGAATTCATTTACATCTTCTCCAAGCATCTTACTACCTAGCTTGCTCAAACATATAAGTTATCCTGGTTCTAAAAATTATCTAACAAGCTCAACCAGCAACCAGCATAACTGGATCCTGCTAAGTAATTCATTCTCATATCTAGCCTGAGGCAGCACTATCGAAAGGGACACAACTCTTTTCATTTTCTTAAATCTCGTAAGGAACTCTTTATACTTTTAAACCAGCTTTTTCTGATTTAGAATTTCAAACATTATTTGCTCATATATATATATTTGCACTAAAAAAAAAAAGAAAGATGAGAGAATGCTCCCTTGGTAACAGCAACTAAGCTCTCAACACGTTATTTAATTTCCCTCAGTAAACTGAAAACATACTCTGTAATGTCTCCTACTAAACACAACACACTCTGTAATGTCTCCTACTTTGAGTTATTAGCAATGTTTTGTTTTAAAACGCAAGCGTTTCATCACATGAAGAGCTTGTTTACTGGTAGATATTTGTTAAATATAGAAAATGCAGTTCCTCTAAAGTTCATGTTGTATATATTTTATTTTTCATTTTCATTATAAATGTGGTTGTTGTTAAGCGAAACACTACACAATGGAGTGTTTGTGCTATGCCGGTATTGAAGCCCGATTTTTAGCGACGTAAGCCTGCAGACTTGTCGCTGAGTCAATGGGTGGTTTCGTTATAAAAGACTGGCTGATGGGAATACTAAGAAATGGAAATTTGAGCTTATGTGGTCTTTCACTATGAAAAACTGTTAAATATTCCTCCTATCATTTACACGTAGTTTTGGAATTCCCTATTACTAGAGTATACGTTCATATGAAAATCCACCAGAGGTATTATACCATAGGTTTCTGTTATATTCATATTACTTTAATACTTTATGGAATAAAAAAACATATTAAATCCACACTAATGGTTTGGTCTGATTAATTAAGTAGTTGAGGTTCAGAATAGAAAATAAAAAAAATGAAGGAGGAAAAATCTTCATATGCTGGAGATCTAATAATCTATTAAATTGGAGATTATTAGCTTAATTATTTTACGATATTCTAATCCAAAGTCGACGTATGTAAAGATTTACACATAGAGCAACTTAAAGTCCAGAAAGCTTATTGTGAAGTGTGTTGATTTTTTTTATATTCTTATGAACGGGTAAAATAAAAATGTCTCCGAATAACAAAATCATGTTACTCTGAATATGCGGATAGACAAAGTATTTTGTAATTTTGAAGCATATATTAAGACGTTTCTTGTAGATATATGATACTTGTATATGCTGAATGTATGAGTATAACCAGTTAAAACAGCCTCAGTGTGGTTCATGATAAAGTTTGATTTCAAATTGGACATTATTGAAAACCACACACAAATATCTTCTTCCTACTTCTCCAAGCTCCAGTAAGAAGTTTTTCACTTATATTCTTTTCTTCAAAAAATAAAATAGAATAAAAATATGTAGGCGACTACATTCTTAAATACATACTCCTACAAATTAAGTTTCTTATCCTTTCAATAGTTGGAAGTGCTTTGGAATAAGAAATTGCAATCAAAATTACAATCTTACTCAGATGTAATTAATAAACTTAAAAATCGCGGTGGAACTGTTTGTCTCAGAACTACATTTTGACATTGGCGTTTTGTAGATAGCATGATGCGAGCAAAAATTAATTGCTTATGGGAATGATATGTAACAGCTTTTTCCGTCACAAAATATTCATATAATCAAGTCATAATGATGTGTTCAAATCGGGTATTTAGAATTTCCAAGACGGGAATATCCCTTACAGTTAATGGTATTGGAACAAAGGAATATGGATCCACTGCTTGATAACGAGGGCCATCCAGAAGTAGACCTGCAATAAGTCGTACCCCAGCCATGGTAAACAAAATGTGGCGTCTCGTAACAAGTGAAAATCCACATATCTTGAGCAAAAGTATGCAACATAATTAAGAAGGACCTCCGTCTGGAAACCAGGCCAATAGGGTATTGGTTCATCAAGATAAGACTTCCAGACATACTTCCCGTTCAACCGTCGTATACCGTAAAATAGTTGAAAATGAAACGAACATTGATGTTATTCCATACGAAGACATATTGGTCAAATTTGGACACCGTACTTTTTAATTTATGTGCAGTCAGTCTGTTGAAACAGGCATTGGAAAAGCGTCGTACTCGTACAGGAGATGGACTATGGAATGCAGGCAGGGAGGAAGGATTTACTTTGAACATGACAATAGTCAGATAGATCATAAGTAGATCAAGCATTTTCAGATGGAACTATTTGTATATAACGATAAATTTCTTTCATATTAGACACATGATAAGAGAAAGTAAAATTACATTATAAAATATATGTAATAAAAACCCTCACGGTGAAGAAGAAACATGGTATAATAGCTTTTATATGGTGCTTTACATATAACAGAGATAATGACAATTCTAAATGAACCCATCGTTTAAGGATAATTTAATTACAGCAACCCAAGATACCATATCTAATGCTTTTATAATAGCATTACTATTAAGCGAATCGTTTGAAGTTACAACACAATGAGCGTTCCTTTATACATCTGTCATTATTTGGATGGTTCAGTATCACTCTAATGATGGTTGCTTCTCTATATTTTATGACCGATTTCTTATATATATATATGTTAAACTAAGAGCTTACTACAAAAAAAAACAAAAAACATCATTCTTGTTATTTTCTAGATTTTCTTAATGATGATTATACCTCTTTCTTTGCTGTAATATATATATCTATGTCTGTGTCTATTCACCAATATTTTGTTTCATGCTAAAAGTGTAAAATGTAATTATTCAACATCGTTGATTTTTATTATGTAATAAAAAATAAAATTCATGATAACAGTTACATAGATTTATATTTATAATTGTAAGGTAATTTCTTCGAATCTATTGTCCCCCGGTGGGACAGCGGTAAGTTAACAATGCTAACATCTTAACAATGCTAAAATCCGGGGTGCGATTCCACGATGTGAACACACCTAATAGACCAATCTGACTTTTCTCTAAAACAAACAAACAATCGCATCTATTTATTTTCATCTACGATAGGTTTGAAATGGCACTCAGAACAGATCATTTCTAGCCTATATCGTCGAATAAATTTATGCATTTAGGATATTTTTTCTCGAAAATAAAATTGACTCCATATATACTAAAACCAAAAATAAGTTAATAATAGTACAGTAAAAAAGTAGACTTTAAAGAAAATATATTACATCGCTATACAATTTTACTTAATGGCCACGAGATAATTTTTATTCAGCCAACAGGTAAGTTTAGGCAAAACTTTGCAAAAAATGTTTTTTGTAAGTTATAAAGTTCGTGTAACGCTGCATATTTACTTCTCATGTCGTCCCGCTAAAACTCGTAGTTCGATATTTGCAATGTGAATAGCGAATATATCCCATTACGTAGCTATCTGCTTATTAAACAACAAACTACTTTTCGTGGCTTGAATATCTGTATTCACCAAAACCAATGTTGCAGAAGGAGCATAGCTTTTCTGCTTGGAAACAAAGTCAACAAAAAGAATGAATTAAACGATCTGTGTATAAAACAGAATATATTAAAACTTGGTTATATTAGATACATATATAGAAAACTAAATAGATTAAAATGATAATAGTAACATATCTTATTTACAGGGACTTTTGGCTACATTGTATTATCGAAATGAGTTTTCTTGGTCGCTAAAGTGATTAAACGGAAAATTTGATTACATTTTCATTCAGGAGACATAAGTTCTTTCACGCATTTTTCCATTTATTTCATTCTACTGTCATTAATTTACATTTAAGTTATTTATTTGAACTATTTATTTGAAATTATGAACCTGAACAACACTTTTACATCACATGTGCTAAACAACAATGTCAGAAACCCAAGGTTCAGACAGAGCCTTTCCTTACCCTTAACCAAATAGTAGGATTGACTATCCATTTTAAAACTCTCAGATATGAAAATGCAGCGTCAGTTCATCGATACATCGAAGGCTCGAATCTTGGACTTTTCGATCCGTATCTTGGCACGTTAATCACTAGGATAAGCAAGTCCCATATTTGGACTTAAAAATATGAGCTTATATTAATGAACATAATGCACTCTGAAACGTCATTTTAAAATGATAGAAATGCTGATATTGTGGAAATAAAATGTTTAAGTGGTCTGGGATGAGAAATATTTGCTACTAGTTTATTATCAAAGTTAAATTAAAGAATTGTTTTTACTATTCACACATTTTTTGTAGGAAATAAACAGCATAATTAACTCACGCCCTTTTTTTTCTGTAATCTTTAATTAAGTGGCATCGCCAAAATCCTCTGAACAAGTAAACTAGTTTAGACTGAGCGCGTCTTTCGTTTGTTATTTAGCATGCTGTCAGCAACTGAACGTTATTGATTGGTTGCCAAGGTTACCGATAGTTTTTCCTCCTGTCAGGAACAGAGGGCGTCACAATAGCATTCAGCTATTTTCGCCGTTGCTGCTATTTGCTGCTCGACATACGCCAAGTAAGTATCTTCTACTTTTTATCGGAAAGGAAATGTACATAATAATTAACAGGTTTGTAAGTTTCTTAAAGACAACTAAATATATATAACAATACTTTGGTTGTCGGATTGGGTAGAGGACCACCCGAAACTATGTTGCTAATTTATTTGTCGTAAACAAATATTTCATAAAATAACTCAAAAAATAATAATTGTGCAGTCAGTAAAAGGAGATCACAATTGTGCTTATCTTCCAAAAAGCTTAAGACTATTATTAAATAACAACTTTAAAATATAGAATGAAATACAGACAATGGTAGTCAACATAGTGTATATATTTTAATAAAGCAGTTACATGCAATAAGATATGTACGTATCTAGGATTTATTAGCCAGTATATATTGTCTTAACAACTTGGTTAAACAAAATACACTTATAGAATATCTTCATGTTATATTACAGTAACAGATTTGTATTATTTAGTAGGAAAAACGTCCGGTTGCTAACAATTTTGAAATTTCAAATAAGTTTTATTCTTGCTATAAAAGTTGCGTGATTATATTTGTGGTTTTATAAGAGTACCAGTATTTGTTTGGCTTCACTTTTACATTATAAAATAATAATATAGATTGGTATCGATAGTCTGACTTATTTTACTTTTGTCTTTATTTTATACAAGAATATTGCATATTGCACGTGTGCAAATCTGATCTGAGTCGAAAAATTGAGTCGTCTGGCTTCACCAGTATTTTATATAAGAACAATGCCTATCACTAGATTTTTGTCGATGGTGTGGCTTTTTTGGCTTGGCAAGAATGTTGCACGTTTGTAGAATTGTATCGATAATCTGGCTTGTTTGTTTCACCTTTATACCATGCAAGAATGTTGCATATCTGTTGATTTGTGCCAATAGATCAGCTTGACCTTCATCTTATAAAAGAGTATTACAGGTCTATAGATTTGTGTCGATAATCTGGCTTGTTTGGCTTCGTCTTTAAAGTATGCAAGAACGTCGCATCTCTGAAGATTCGAGTCAATAGTCTTGTTCTTTGGCTTTATCTACACGTTCTACAAAAAATATTGTATTTATCTAAGTTTCTGGGGATAATCTGGCTTGTTGAGTTTTGTATTGATTTTCAACAAGAATATCGTTGAACTGTAGATCTAATCTTTAACTTCACTGCTCTCTATTGCAGCAGAATATTAAAATGTTGTTTATCAGTATTCAGTCATGTTTAGTGTTGCCTTTATGTGTGGTACGGGTAAATGTGTAACGATGCTTTCCCTTGTAGTAGTAAAGTTTATGTTCTACTAGGATTTTATTTGTCTATAGATTTATAGAGATATCCTGGTTTCTTTAGTTCGATCGCTATGTTGTAGTAAACTGTATGTAAATTTTAGCAATAATACGTCTTCTCCTAATTCATCTATATGCTTAAGTAAAAAAAGATGTTTCAGTTTATAGCTGTAATCTGACTCCTTTGGATACACCCACATATCTTGAAAAGACCTCTGAATACATAAAGTCGGTGTGTCTCTGGTTTCTGTTAGTTTTCTAAAGGATTTGTATTGATACTCTGCTTTATATAACTTCCCCACTATGATGTACAATAATGTCATTAGAACTATAACGACAATATGGCTTACATAGTTTCATGTTTATGTTTTGCTAGATCATCTGTATAATTTTAGGGATAGCCTTACTTATATAACTTCTCTTTGTACAAGGGAAATTAATATCTGGCTATTTATGTTTATTTGTTTGTTTATCGTTAAGCACAAAGCTACACAAACAGCTATCTGTGCTATGCCTACCACATCTACCTAAACCCGGACTTAGCGTTATAAGCCCATAGACTTACTATTGAGCCACTGGGGGCGACTATTTATAAGATACTCTAATTAGAGTGTTATTTTATTAAAACACATATAAATCTGGGTTATTTGAAGACCTTTGACCTTTTTCTAATGACAAATACAATTCTTTGAAGTTGCTCGATCGTTTGTATACATATAATAATTTTATGATGATTCACAGAAATGAAACATAAGTAAGACATAGTTCTGTACTGTTTGGCCCCATCTGTATATTTCACAAAATCATTGCCTCTTTGCGCTGTTTGTAGCAATAATCTTTCTTCTTTGACTTCAATTTTATGTTTTTGAAAGATTTTTGCCGATCTCAAAGTTTCTAACAATATTTTGAGTCATATTTATCTTTTATCTTGTAGTTTAATCGTTATGTTATACAACATACAAGAATATCGCCTCTTAAACAATAATAGCGATATATTGGTTTACTTTACCTTTGTGTTCATTTTTTGTTAATGCTCTTTTTTCCTTTGCTAAACTACTTTTCGTGGATAGATGTGTAGCCAAATTCTTGTTTTTGGTTTTAATTTTTGTCTACAATTATATCTGCTGTGTGTAAATTTATAATTACGCTTTGACTTGATTGATTTCACCATTTTTGTTTTGTGAAAATATATTTTTTCCGAAAATCTGCAATAACACTTTTACTTACTGTGTTTTAGTTTTTTTATTTCCCGGACATATCTCTGTCTCTAGTAACTTTTTTTTTTTTTACTTGATTGAACGAGAACATCTCTGTCTGTAAGATGTATAGTGATACTCTAGCCTGTTCGTTTGTTTTCACCTTTTAATCCAACTAGAAAATATATGTCTGTAAGATATATAGTGATACTTGAGCCTGTTTGTTTGTTTCACCTTTTATCCAACGAGAAAATCTCTGTCTGTAAGATATATATATAGTGATACTCTAGCCTGTTCGTTTGTTTTCACCTTTTTATACAACGAGAAAAATTCTGTCTGTAAGATATATAGTGATACTCTAGCTTGTTCGTTTGTTTTCACGTTTTTATACAACGAGAAAATCTCTGTCTGTAAGATATATATATAGTGATACTCTAGCCTGTTCGTTTGTTTTCACCTTTTTATACAACGAGAAAATCTCTGTCTGTAAGATATATATATAGTGATACTCTAGCCTGTTCGTTTGTTTTCACCTTTTTATCCAACTAGAAAATATATGTCTGTAAGATATATAGTGATACTTGAGTCTGTTCGTCTGTTTTCACCTTTCTTTCCAACGAGAAAATCATTGTCTATAAAATTTATCGATGTTCTGAATTGTTTGGATTCAAATTTTTATTCAGTGAGAATATCACTTTCTCTAGATTTGTAGTGAAACTCTAGTAGTTTGGTTTCACCTTTGTTATTCCACGAGAATATTCCCTGTCTATAGATCTGTAGAGATTCCAATTCTGTTGGGTTTGATCTAATGTTTTTATTCTGTGAAAATATTGCCTGTCTCAAGATTTGTAGTGATACTCTAACGTGTTTGGTTTCACCTATTATTCTTCGAGAATATCGATTGTCTATAGATTGGTAGCCATGTTTTAACTTGCTTGGTTTTAGCTATTTGTTTAAATTTGTATTGACCTGGCCGTTTTTTTTTTCGACTTTTATTTTTTAAAGAGAATATTTCTATTTTTAAATTTATAGTGCTTTTATTCTATGAAAATATCGTTTGTCTACTAATTTGTAGTGATGTTTTGACTTGTTTAGTTTTACCTTTTCAAAGAAAGAAATCATTACTGGGTTAGAGTTCTAATATTACTCTGTCTTATTTGGCTTCACCATTTTACGAGAATATTACCCGTCTAGAGATTTATAACGATGCTTTGACTTTTTTATTCTAAAGAATATAATTGTCCCCAGATTTACAGTTATTTTAAGTTATTCCGTTTTACATATTTTGGTTCAATAAACACTCTGGCCTGTTTTGCTGGTTTCACCTTTTTAATTAGTAAGAATATCCATGTTTTAAATTTGTAATGATAGTCTGGCTTTTTTGTTTGACCTTTTTATTTTACGAGAATATCGCCTAGCTACATATTTGTAGCTACGTTTTGTCTTGTTTGATTTAATCTCTTTTGTTCAATAAAATATCCGTGTCTATAGATTAATAGTGATTCTCTGGCTTGTTTAGTTTCACTTTTTTATTCAATGAGAGTATCGCTGTTTCCGGATTTACGGTGATGTTTCGAGTAGTTTGGTCTTATTTTATCTCTTGGTTCAACAACAATATATCTGTCTCCAGATTTGTAATGAAACTTTGACCGGTTTGGTTTCCCCTGTTTATCCTACGAATACAATGCTTGTTTCTACATTTCTATGTATAGATTGTTGCGTTGTTTTGACTTGTTTGGTTTAACATTTTTGTTTGTTTGTTTGTTTGTTTTTAATTATGCACAAAGCTACACAAGGGCTATCTGTGCTCTGCCCACCACGGGTATCGAAACCCGGTTTCTAGCGTTGTAAGTCCGCAGACATACCGCTGTGCCACTGGGGGGCCATTTTTGTTTAACAAGTAAATCCCTGTTTCTAAATTTGTATTGATATTCAGGTCTTGTTTTCTTTCGATTTTTTATTTTATTTTAAGATAATATATATGTATCGTCTCTCTATTCGTTTATTGTGATGCTTTCAATTCTTTGATTTCGTATTTTGTTCAACTAGAATATTCATATTTAATAATTTATAATGATCCCCTAGGTTGTATAGCCCCACGCAACGAGAAGAACACTTTTTTTCTTCTGGATTTCTAGCAATGTTTCTAATTGTTTAGTTTCCTCTTTTTGTTCAAAGGGAATACTTAGGTCTCTATATGTATAGTAATACTTTGCTTTTTATTTCCCCTATTAATAGAAATAAAATATTGATATATCTTGTTTCGTAGTTGATGTTCTGACTTGTTTGGTTTCACCTCTTTCTTCATCGAGATTATCTCTGTCTCTAGATTAGTAGTAACGTTACGAACTGTTTGGATTCACTGTTTTGGTCAATAAAAACATCTGGGTTTGTAGAGGTGGATTGACTTGTTTAATTTCACTTTTTTTTGTTCAACGAGGATATCATATGTCTCTAGATTTTTAGCGATATTTTGCTTATTTAGTTTTAACTTTTGGATTATTCAGACTATCTCTCTTGCAAGATTT